TTAGGGTTTAGGGTTTCGGATTTAGGGTTTCAAGTTTAGGGTTTAAAGTTTAGAGTTTAGGGTTTAGGGTTTAGGGTTTAGGGTTTGGGGTGTAGGGTGTAGGGTTTAGGGTCCGAAAGCCCGAGTAGGTATCACTTGTACTTCGAGCCCTAGAGAAGCCTCCACCCCAAACTCCAAAGCCATGGCCCAGGCCAATCGCGGCGGGACCCTTTCGAGGGTTCTATGCCCTCCCAGTCGTCTTAAACTAGGCTCTCAAAAAAACATAGGTACTGTACCAGTACAATAGCTTGTTGCCCTTTTTTGACAAACCATTTGGTTGAAAATTATGGACGAGGGACAAGGCCACGGACGGGCGTCTGTGAACGCAGGTTCTTTTTTCCGTTTGACCACAAAGGAACTGTGGTTCTGGAGCCAAGAATACACAGTCCCCGCGTTGAGTTTTTGTGGGTTTTGGGTTTGGGCTTTGGGGGCTATGTGTTTTCGGGCTAGGGTTCCAGGATGTGGGGCGTCACTTGTGGTTTGTGGTTGTGTCGGCTTTCGGACTTAGGACTTAAACTATCTAGGGTTTGCTTACTTAGACCGCCCGTGTTGAGTCCCTGGCATCAGGATCCAGCACGCGACACACCCGCAACATTGCGGCCTGCGCAGGCCATAGCCCTGATTCAATGCCCTTCCATAGTGAACGTTTTTAAAGTCTGCAGTAGGGTTTAGGTAGCCGCTTTTGCTGGCTTTATCTTCGCCCCCCCCCCCCCCGCCTTTCCTGATCTGCTGCTGGTTCAGGTCGACATCGCGTTACCAACTCAATCAATCTCTGCAAGCTCTCCCCTTAGACCCTCAAGCAACACAAGCCCAGCCACATAACTAAACCCTAAACCCTAAACCCTAAACCCTAAACCCTAAACCCTAAACCCTAAACATCCCTAAACCCTAAACCCCACAAGACTCACAGGATCCATCAACCCTCCCAAAAAGGGGTTAGTTAGAGGGGATTCTAGTATACTAGCCCAAAAAGGGGTTAGTTGTAGGGGATTCTAGTATACTAGCCCAAAAAGGGTACTACATAGGAGCCTTGGGGTAGTTAGAGGGGATTCTAGTATACTAGCCCAAAAAGGGTACTACATAGGAGCCTTTGGGTAAATCCTCCATCCTCTAAGCCATCAACCCCCGGGTCCCGGGACCTTGTGCACCATGAGCACGGCCGGCACAACACCGGAGAGGGCCGGGAACTCGGGCAGCTCGGGCCTGAAGGTAGGGTTTAGGGTTTAGGGTTTAGGGTTTAGGGTTTAGGGTTTAGGGTTTAGGGTTTAGGGTTTAGGGTTTAGGGTTTAGGGTTTAGGGTTTAGGGTTTAGGGTTTAGGGTTTAGGGTTTAGGGTTTAGGGTTTAGTGTTTCGGGTTTAGGGTTTAGGGTTTAGGGTTTAGGGTTTAGGGTTTAGGGTTTAGGGTTTAGGGTTTAGGGTTTAGGGTTTAGGGTTTAGGGTTTAGGGTTTAGGGTTTAGGGTTTAGGGTTTAGGGTTTGGGTTTGATTAGGGTGTAGGGACACAGAACATAAGGCATTATAGGCTTAGGGGCTTGCTCTTGGGGCCTAGAGGAAGTTTGCTGAAGGGCCTAGGGTTTTTCCCCTTTTGTTGGAGTTTTTGCTATGGCCTTGCGCGCTCTAGACTCGCGTGCCCACTAGCGCGCGCAGGCTCCAGAGCCAAGGGGTCTGGATCTGGGGGCTTGGAACACTTTCCACAGTTCCACGATGCATTCAATACCCGATCTGCTGGCTGCATGTCCTTCTGTTTCTTCCACTGCCAGCATATGCCCCACTCAGCAGTGGCCGAGTTAGGCCAGCAGTCGACTGGAAACAGTCAACGCAACAACTACGGTGCATGCATTTGATAAGAAATCGTTCCAAACAAGAAATTAGACCCTGGAGGAGTGCCCCTATTTCTTAACCAGGGTCTGGCACAAGGCAAATTTATTATTCCCGGCGGTCACGGGGGACGGGGGGTCAGCGGGGAGAGTTCAGCGACACCGCTTTTGAGGTTTTGGGGGCTGAAAACTCCAAAATCGATGTCGTTGAACTCTGGGGCGCCCCGGGGACAGTTCAACGACACTGTTTTGAGGTTTTGGGGGCTGAAAACTCCAAAAACGATGTCGTTGAACTCTGGGGGTCACGGGGGACGGGAGGTCACCGGCAAGGAGTTCAACGACACCGTTTTTGAGGTTTTGGGGGCTGAAAACTCCAAAAACGATGTCGTTGAACTCTTGGTAGGGGGGGGTGTGGGGGTCCACGGGGGACGGGAGGTTATTGGGGAGGAGTTCAACGACACCATGTCGTTGAACTCTGCGCCGGGGTGGGGTTCACGGGAGACGGGAGGTCACCGGGGACACCTTTTGGGGGCTGAAAACTCCAAAAACGATGTCGTTGAACTCGCGGGGGGGGGGGTCACGAATGATGGGAGGTCACTGGGACGCGGGGGTTTTTGAGGTTTTGGGGGCGGAAAACTCCAAAAACGATGTCGTTGATCTCTGGGAGGGTGGGGGGCAGTTCAACGACACTGTTTTTGAGGTTTTGGGGGCTGAAAACTCCAAAAACGATGTCGTTCAACTCTGGAGAGGGTGGGGGGGTCACGGGGGACAGGAGCTCACGAAAGACGCGGGGGAGTTCAACGACACTCCAAAAAACGATGTCGAATCCATTTGGTTGAGAGGCGTTATCGCCAGCACTTCCCCGTGGCCTAATGGTTAAGGCGTCGGCATTGGAATGTAAGGTCGCAGGCTCGATTCTTGCGGGTGTCAACGGGGTTCAACGACACCGTTTTTGAGGTTTTGGGAGCTGAAAATTGAATTTTGGGCGCGCCAGAAAACTCCAAAAACGATGTCGTTGAACTCGGGGGGGGGGGGGGGGGGGGGGGTCACGGGGGACGGGAATTCACTGGGAAGGAGCTCAACAACACCGTTTTTGAGGTTTTGGGGGCTGAAAACTCCAAAAACGATGTCGTTGAACTCTGGGAGTCACGGGGGACGGGAGGCCACCGGCAAGGAGTTCAACGACACCGTTTTTGAGGTTTTGGGGGCTGAAAACTCCAACAACGATGTCGTTGAACTCTGGGGGGGTGGGGGGGGTCATGGGGATGGGAGGTCACTGGGCACGTGGAGGGAGTTCAACGACACCGAATTTTGAGGTTTCGGGGCTGAACACTCCAAAACGATGTCGTTGAACGGGGGTGGGGAGGTCACGGGGGAAGGGGGGTCACCCGGGACGCGGGGGGAGTTCAACGACACTCCAAAAACGATGTCGTTGAACTCCCGGGGGTTCATGGCGGACGGGGGGTCACCGGGGACGCGGGGGGAGAATAAGAAATGTGATAAGACCCTAAATCTTACTTTCATTTCTTATTCCCGTGGCCGCCTACAAGAAATATTCAGGGTCTCAACGAAGAACACCCGTTTCTTATCAAACTGATTGCCCGTACCTGCGCTAGCAGTAACAAGTTGAAAACAAGTCTACGGCGAATCACCTCTCCTGGGCGCTCACCCGTACGGAATCAGGTTACTTGCCAACAAGCAAATATCATCCAACTTTCAAAGATCAAAAACCGCTAAACGTTATCAGTATGACAAGTCCTGTTTTAACTTGTCTTTTTGTTTCGAAATCTTCCTACAACCTACTCACCCCAAGGCAGAAAAAGGAGGATGCTCTGAGCTTCTTTTGTAGACAACTGGCACCCCAAGCCACAAAAAAGCAAACTATACCGCCGTGAGCCACAAAAAAGCCTCAAACAAGAAACGAAACACTAAACCCTAAACCTTGAAGCCGTCAAAACCCGCAGCTGTAGAGTTCAACGCTAAGACCTGACTCGGCTGAAGCACGACATCTCACCCAAAGGCTTCCTGGCTAAGCTTTCGAGGCCTCTTTTGAAAATAAACACAAGAAAGTTTGAAGCGCGACGCGAAAAGCATGATAAAGGTTACCTACTCGCCGAATAAGAAGCTGAGGTGATCAGGTGCGTGTGTGATCGGGTTCAAGGGGCTGTGGTTCGGGACTCTCAGCCTCATATTCTGAGGGGCCCTGCCTTTCGGAACGCTCGTCCATAGCCAACAGCAGCTCCTGCAGTTGGGGATTAGGGTTTAGGGTTTAGGGTTTAGGGTTTAGGGTTTAGGGTTTAGGGTTTAGGGTAAGAGGGATCCTGCGACTCGGTGAGGCCTGTTTTCAATTTGCGTCGCCTAGCAGAAGCAGTGAACATGCCCACTGATGTGGCACCGTGTGATGGCTGTTGGGAAAGCTGGGACTTACGGCATCTGGTGCCACAATAGTCAAGAGGAAGCCGCAAATTAACGATCGTCCCCCTTGACATGTATTTCTACGAGGCGGAACATCCTAAAACCCCTTTAGACCTAGACCCTAAACCGTAAACCCTAAACCCTAAGCCCTAAACCCTGAACCCGAAACCCCCAAAATCATCCACACTCAGAGCCGAGGCTGTCCAAGAAGGAGACGGTCCCCGACCGATTGCTGTCAATGGCCTGGCTTTTGAAACTTTTGGGGGTTTAGGGATACGGTTTAGGGTTTAGGGATTTAGGGTTTTGGGGATTTAGGGTTTTGGGTTTTGGGTGGGGTGTGGGGCTTTTAGGGCTTAGGGGCTTAGGGGTTTAGGGGTTTAGGGGATTTGGGGCAGTTTTGGGTGCACATGGGTATCCATCAACGGCAACTTGCTGCAAGCATCTCACACACCTTGATAGATCTTGGTCGTGTTATGGTACCTTTGGACAAGGATGGCTTTTGCAGGCACCAGGGAGACAAGGAGGAATGCGACCTGCAGATGTGCTATACTCAGTCCGAGGCATCGGATACTTTTCTGCCGACACGACTTGTTTGATCCCCCTTGAAAGCAGCAGCACAACAGTGCAACCCGCAGCAGTTTCTATCTCGTCGGCCCTTGCGCGTTCCTGCACCACGTAGAACCCAAAGCGCCCAAAACACGGCTCGACAGGATCTCCGAGCCAGCAGCCTTCAACGCAGAAGCTCCTGGCGCAGTTCTTCCAGCAAGGCGCCCAGTCGGTTTCGGCCAGTGCCATCCAGGCCCGTGCCCCAATAAGCATCGGGCTTCACGGAGACCAGTGGGTGGGGGTGGGTGCTTTTGAGAAGCTGGCGCAGGCCAGCATGCTCAAACTTCGCACGGAGGACTTCGCGCATCACGGCCTCCTTCATGTCCTCCCAATCCGGTGGAAGGCTCGCGCCCCTGCCCATGCCTAGGCTGGCCCTTAGGGTTTAGGGTTTAGGGTTTAGGGTTTAGGGTTTAGGGTTTAGGGTTCTCTCACAACCAACAAGGGCCAGGGCAAGTGCAAACAAATCCCCACGGCCCCGCCGAGATTCTGAACGCTTTGTTGGCGGAGGCCTCCGCAAAAGCTGGCGCCATGTCCCTGAACGCCTTCGAGCCTTTGGGCCCGAACTTGTGCCTTTGCCAAGCAGGGATCACCGGAGCTTCTAACTGAACTCTGCACTTGAGAACATGTCTTCAACTTTCGTCTAACCACAAGGGGGATTCTCTATATTGGAGCCCCTTTTGGGGTTTCTATTGTAGGGCGGCCCCAAGTATTTAGGGTGCCCAAACAGGGACCATGATTCTGCGAACCACCCACACACCGAGGTGCAGCTGAAAGAGTTGCTCGGGTCCATTGAACCGCAGTCCATCGTAGTGGAGGCCTGGTTCCTCAAACACCCATGTGGAGTGCACATTCTCCTTAGCTTTTTTTGGGGAGGTTTAGGGTTTCGGGTTTCGGGGGGAGGGGGGGTCGCAGAGCTTGCAGGGGAAACCCATGAGGTCTTGAGCATGCAGGCTTTTGGGTTTCAACGTTGCTCTCGTGTCTCGGTGGAGGGCCTAACCTGAAGCCTTAAATCCTTAAGAAAGGGAGATTCAAAGAAAGGGCCTCCCCCCAGAAGGAGGTGTAGGGTCCACGGCGTACGGGTTGATAAACGACAGCCAAGTGTCGAATTCTGTGCACCAAAGATACGCGCCATACTTGGCCTGTGCCAAAACTCGGGACCCTCCAGATGTCTAGCCCCGAGAACCCCAAAGCCGCCTAAAGCCTGCAACCTAGGAACAGCTTTTATGTTAAAAGCGGCTATGAGACAACCCTAAACCCTAAACCCTAAACCCTAAACACTAAACCCTAAACCCTAAACCCTAAACCCTAGAAGAAGGGTTCTACCGGGGTGCGCCCTATGCCGGTTTCCTAGCTTGACAAACAGAGACTTAAATGACTACTAGATCCTTTAGGGTCTGGGGTTTGGGGTTTGCCCTACTGGTTCTTAGTAGGGAATATAAAATTCACTACCCTATATCATGCCTTAAATAGAGTTTCTTCCATGGCCAGTTCTCAACAATATGGTCCTTTTGGGGTGCTTTTGATAAGGCGGCCCCCCCCCCAATAGCTATCCCAACATGGGGCTTGGGGTGTAGGGTTTAGGAGTTTAGGAGTTTAGGAGCCCCTAAACCCTAAACCCTAAACCCGAAACCCGAAACCTTAAACCCTAAACTCTAAAACCAGCGGTCCTCGGCCATGTTGATCCCGCCGGGAGGGAGTCTCAGTGCCTTTCGCTTTGGCCATTTCTCTAAATCATGGTCCCCCCTTTTGGGGCACCAAAAAAAACTACTAGTTACTAGTATCCCCAAACGGGACCCTCATGTGGAGAATCCCCCACTTAAACTTGGCTTTAGCATCCCAAGGAGAAGGCAAGAAAACCTGAAACTCCGGATCCTGAACCCTAAACCCTAGCCCTAAACCCTAAACCCTAAACCCTAAACCCTAAACCCTAAACCCTAAACCCTAAACCCTAAACCCTAAACCCTAAACCCTAAACCCTAAACCCCAAGCTCGAAACCCTAAACCCTAAACCCTAAACCCCAAGATCTGTTCTCCGGCCAGGCACAGCAGCGACCACCCGGTGGGGCACGTAGCAACCCAGCTTGCCATCCGCGCGGTCCTCGCATCTGCGTTGAAACCCTCGACCCCCACTTAAAGGTTCATGGGTACTTATAACCACAAGGGTTTAGGGTTTAGGGTTTAGGGTAACTACAATTGTAAGTCTACTTATAACCTACTTAGGGGACTAGGGGGCTTATAAGTCCAGGTAGAATTGGAGGTAATAAGTGCCCATGAACCTCCAAGCAAGCAACCTAAGACCACAAAGGCTGCCTTTTCTCTCTGCTTGCTGAGGCTGATGAGGGGTTTAGGGTTTAGGGTTGAGGGTTTAGGGTTCAGGGTTTAGGCAAAGGGAAAGGGAATAAGGCCGCCAGCCGTGGCCTTCACCCCTGCCGTCGAGGAATCGGTTGAGAGGCTTGCAGGATGTGGGTCGGGAAAGTCGGATGGAAGACTGCAGGGATCTGCCGGGTTTTTGCTGCAAGTTAAGAGGGCTTGTGATGAGGACTCCTAAGCCCTAAACCCTAAACCCTAAACCCTAAACCCTAAACCCTAAACCCTAAACCCTAAACCCTAAACCCTAAACCCCAATCCCTTGGGATTTGAGATGCGAAGCCTGCGGCTCAAGCCTTAGGGTTTTCGTGGGGTGGTGGAGGAGTCCTGAAGGCCACCAGCAGCTGCAACTGCATCCTGGCGTTATGTAAAAACAAGTTTAGGTGTCATGTAGAGGGCCACTGCATAGTTTGGGGTTTAGGGTTTATGGCGGTCCGAAGATCCGCCAGGTCTCTCGCTACCCCCGTTCAGTGCAGCCATGGCTTCGAAATGAGGCACAAAGCGTGCGATTCTTTTCCACAAACCGAACTGCAATCTTGTGTGTTGTGCTGCTATGCTGATGCCAATCGGCATGCTGTGACTCCCTTTCCGGGCCTTGGGTGTTTTCGGCTCTTTGAGCCTCTGTGCCTGCGACGATCGCGGCCCCATCGAAGTCACCTCAGCATCAACACCCCTCCTTGGGCCCTCCGTCAGGGGGTGCCCACTTCTCATGAACCCCAGTTTGTCGGGGAGCTGAGGCATTCCTATGCCCTCCAGGCTATAGGAGAAAACGTGCATTCAATTTGCTATCCTGCACCAGCTGGCCTGAGGGAATTTCCATCGCCATCTCTGCAACACGTGCAGAGGTTTCTCGTCATCACATTCGAAGAGTTCCTCAGGCCCCAGCAATTTCGGTACCTGTGATAGCAGTCGCCCGAGCCAGTGATATAAAACGGTCCATCATAGGGGACTTGCATCACCCGTAAGACCTGTTTCTCGAACGCCGGCAAGGTCTGAACTTCTGCGTCCCGCACTTGAGGTTTCTTTAAAATAGGCGACGATGTACTCGCCCTCAATGTCGTAGATGGAGGCAGATCTTCCGGGAAGTGTCTGGAGGCCAAGCTGCGAAGGCGACTTTCTTCTTGAGTTGTCCTCGCCCTAGCCAACAACGCCAAAATCTCCCGGTGCTCCTCCTTGTCCTTGGCCTTGATGCTCATCGCCTTCAGCTCGACCATCTGCTTTGCCGAACCTTTCATGCACTCCCAAACAGCGACCACAGCAACCGTTAAGAGGAGGAACAGCATCCACATTTCCCAGTCTGAAGCCAGGGCTTCCTTTATGCTCGTAGACGTCGTAGCAGGGGCAGTTGCTTCTCCCTTGGCACCACAAACCAACCCCCAACTAGTCATTAGCTGGATCACCCTTTTCAGAGCCTGGGATGCTTGTGACGTGTTGTCTGTTGCTGCTGCTTCCTGTGCTTTCGCTTCTGCTGGTGCTGTCATTGCCGTCGGGGTGGCCTTTGGCATCTCGTCCTCCACACTGAAGACTGCCACCTTCGTGTCCTCCTTGAGCTTCAAGCCCCAAAGACCCATGATCTCTCTCATCCTCGCCGAAGAGACCGGTTTTGTTAATACGTCTGCCAACTGGTGAAGGCCCGGCTGGTGCTGGAGCACCAGTTCGCCTCTCTGCACCTCCTCCCTTATCCAGTTGTAGCGAAGCTTCAAGTGTCTTGTCCTCCACGATCCTCCTTCATCTCCACTCAATATGGAGATCGCCGATGTACTATCGATCTTGATCACCAGCCGCTTGGGAAAGATGCCGAGGTCCTTCAGGGTGGTCTGTACCGCCTTGAGCATCTGTGCCCCCTCAGTGATTGCAACGACCTCTGCCTCAGCAGAGGACAGAGTGCACAGACTTTGTCTCCCCGACTTCCAAGCCAAAACAACTCCTCGCCACACGACAAGGTAGCCGGTATGCGACCGGGTTCCTTGTGGACTAAAGCTGGCATCCGTGAACAAGATGAGGTCGTGCGGGTTGTCCTCCTCGGCGAACTCCTTCGGGTAATGGATCTTAGCGTCGACAGTCCCCTTGACATAGGCCATCATTTTCCTCCCGACTTCCACAGCTCGATCTGGCTCCTTTGCTACTATGGAAGACATCACCGACATGCCATAGGCCAGATCTGGTCTCGCTCTCTGTGAGGCCCACAAGATCTCCCCACATCGCTGTTGGGCCTCCTTCAAGGCCTTGGGATCCGGACTTTCCAGCTTCCCCTCCTCGATGTAGGCATTGTCCTTGGCAATCGGTACCTTGCTGTAGGAGGTTGGTTGACGTAGTCGTAGAAGCTCTTGGAGGTACCCCTGTTGGCTCACACAGAACTCGCCGTCCTCGTTTATGCTCAGCTCTAGCCCCAGAAAGCGAACAGGCTGACCACCTGGAAGGACGTCTTCTCGACCACTGGTTTCCCAATGCTCGTTCAGCCAACCAAAGAAACCATCCAAGGTTGCCGGTGTTCCCACAGCGAGGATATCGTCGACGTAGAAGACCACATAGCCAGTTATCTCCTTCTTTCCACTGCTGGCATCCTTCCTCCAGACCTTGAAGAGATTCAGGTCCGTCTTGGCCATCTCGAGGTGGTACACGTCGCCATCATCATCGGTCCAGGTGGCATTCTTCGTGACTGAGTTTCGGAACACAGTCCACCACCTTGGTGACTTCTTGAATCCATACACCGCAGCGTCCACCACCCACAGCTCGTCATCATCGGCTAGGCCTGCTCGAACTGCCGCTCGTGGAGGCTCCATTGCATAACGACCTTTGCCATCTCCTTCAGCCAGCGGTGCTGTCAAGAAGGCATTCTTGATGTCGTCCGTTGCCGCGCCCCACTTCTTGTAATTCGCCTCGGCAAGAACTCCTCTTACAGCATCAATTGAAGCACCTGCTGCATAGAGATCTCCGAAGCCTTCCGGTCTCTCTTGCTCGAAGTTCCCACAAGCCACTGCTCTGACTCGTCTTCGAAACCATTCCTTTGACTCTTTGCTTGGGGGCTTCGCAGTGTAGACCAACTTCGAGGGAACGATGACGGATTCAGGGTTTTCCCGGAACTCCTTCGCCTCCTTTCCCCTCAATCTTCGAATGGCCTTCATTTCTTCCATCGCCTTGATCTCCTTCTTCAAGGCGGGCTTCCATGACTCCAAGTGCTGCGAAGCTTCCCGTGGATCACAGGTGTGAACTACCTGAAGTGGAGCGTCCAAAGTGCTCAAGAGCTTCTCGAGGTTCTCGGTGTAGAGCTCCTGGACATTGGCCTTCTTTGCTTGAATGTAGCTGTTCTCCTCCAAGTCGACTTCCATGAAGAACTTGTCGTTGTTCTCGACGGCAGGCTCCTCGTCGATCTTCTTGAAAACAGCTAAGTGAGGTTCCGGTCGATCACCATGATCGTCTCGTCGATGTGGAAGTTGTGGATCCCCGGGATCTTCAGGTCCATCTCGTCTTGTTGGGATCTGAACCAAGGGCCTAGGAGGATCCATCGGGACGATTCGCCTGACTTCCCAAAACAAGATGAACTGCTCTTTCTGGAGAATGCGGTTGTTGATCCTTGCCACAGTGATTCTTTCACCTTCAAGGTCTCCGTTTTCGTAGCTCCCGACCAAATCCACTGAGTGAATTGCCAGAACTCTTGCCAAGTGTAGAAGACTTCCATCATTGGCAACCATAAGAACATCTGGTTCTTCCACCCAATCTCGTTCAAGGTCCTGAAAAATCGTGCTGGGAATCCAGGTGTCCGGCTCGTTGTCCATCGGTGCTATCGCTCGCCACTGCTCCACAAGGCCCTCGGTCATGTTGTTCGCATCACGAGTCATAGCTCCTCTCCACTGGTACCATTCTTCAGGTTCCATTCGTAGATGTGTTACATCCACCCTCATCATCAGGTTTGGTCTTTCTTCTTGAGGTGGGGCTTGGTCTGGATCTGGGCCAGTGAGCTTCTTCAGGGTTACCTCCTTTTGGAACTCTGCCACGTTTCCCGGAACATTGAATCCCAGGTCGATCAACATGTCCTCATCGGCACCACTGATTCGGTCGAAATTCCTCACTGTATAGGCCGCAACCACCAATCTAAACCCCTTCCAAGGCATGGTTGAGTGGAGTTTCCTCGGATGGAACTCAATTGGCCCCCTTTCACCATTCACGATCGGGAACTCCACCACGTAGCCATTCTTGTTCTTCTTGATGACGACGTCCTTGCCCTCTTCTGATCCTTCCACCCATAGTCCACCTCCATCAAAACTGCTCACAGGGATCAAGTACGAGGACGACGAAGCACAGTTGTGACTGTCTCGATGCGGACCAGCAAGGATGTTCCCGAAGAGCGAAAAGGTAGTCCATGTTGGCAATTCCCCAGCACAGTTTCCGAGCTTGGAGGCAATGAACTGATTGACTACCCGGGTGGTGTAAGGGAACTTCTTCGTGCCCTTTTTCAGTCCCAGGACTCCTCCATGCACAAATGCACCGGCCGACCAATCCATGGGAGCTTCCCTTTCTTCCTCGCTATCCTCTCTTTCGGAGGAGACGTTTCGCGTTGTCGCGGTTTTTGGGAGCATCTCGAACAACTTGGCAATGATCTCTTCGTCGACATCAATCTCCTCATAGATCACCTCCTTGGCGAAGCTCTCAGGGTCGTTGGGGTCCTCAGAGCATTCATCCTTTTGCTTGATATCCAATGCCTTGATGGCTGTCTTCTCCCTCAATCTTCTTCTCGCAGGTTGAGGTTCTGCTTCTTCTGCAATCAACGGTTCCCGGGCTTCAGGTATTCCCGGATCCACGAGGTCTTTTGCAGGACGAACGTTCTTGGTATGGAGGAAGGTGCCGTCAACATACACCAAGTGGCCTTCATCCACCTGATCGCTCAAGCCCATGTAGATGCCTTCCCTCCATCGTGGTTCGAACTCCATCCTCAACGGCAATCTCTTATCTGCATACTTCTTCTTCTTGACATAGACTCGAGTTCCAAATGTCGCAACCAACTTGGTGACCTGGTTAAGGACTTCCGCACGATTCATGGCCGTTGCTGCCATCACCGCCAAAGGCCAAAACTCCTCACCGAGCTTCGCTGCGCCCAACATGGTCCTCGCCTGTTGCTTCACGGTCCTCACCGTATTCTCAGCACCTCCATTTCCTTGTGGTACTCCAGGAACACTGGTGGTAACGCGAATGGACTCCTTGTGGAACCACTGGACCATCTCCTTCGAGGTGAACTGGGATGCCCTATCCGAGTGAAATCTCAAGACAGGAATGTTGAGGTCCTTCAGGTACAAGACGATCTTCTGCACGGCACTCATCACAGTGGGGCCCTTGACATCCGGGAGCGGAACCGCAAACTT